TGGACCCAGGCAGCATGCACACAGGTTGGCCTCCCTGGGGACATGGCAGGAAGGCAGTCTCCTGTCGGCCAACAGGATGGAACTGACCCTGAAACATCTTTTTTATGTGTGTCATTGAATTATTATTATGAAATTAAATACATAATGCATATTTAGTTAATGTTTTGTGTAGTTTTCTTTTACTCAGACTAACCCTAGTCTGTTTTTTAGTTTCTTTTTTTATTAGTATATGTGTACAATACATAATAATTATATTCATTTTGAGTAACTGGTATATATACCTATCAAGTCTTAGTTATTTCTACCTTCCCTTCCTCTCTTTCCCATGTCCCCAGAAAGAAAGATAGACCTGAGTCATTTGTAGGAAAACAGATGCACCTTGAGACCTCAGTGCCAAGTGAAATAGATCAGACAGGGGACATCAGATATCTGATGGTTTCTCTTATACAAGAAAACCAAAGTCGAAATAAAGAGAAAAACAAATGTAGTTGATAAGCAGGGAGGCAGCCTTTGTGGAGATGGGAAGGGGGTGTCGTGAGTGTGGATCTGTAATCTCTACAGTGGCCAGGGATCATCTTTCTATTGCTCTGCTGCAGTTTGGGGCGCAGTGTCCTGGCAGCCCCAGCAAGTGCCTGTGCCCCTGATCTGTTCCAGGGAGTGGGAAGAGGAGGGTGCTGAGGCCGTGACAGGCTGCTCCTGCCACAGACTCCAGTAGTGGCCACAGGGTGGACTACAGCAGTGGGCACTGCCTTGCTGGTGTGCGGGCACTGAGGGGTGGAGGGCCAGCATCAAATCTGGAGCCCTGGGAAGGATCCAGAAGCTTGCTGCTCACCGTGCTGGCTGAGGCCTGGCTTCCGCACTGCTGAGATGCTAAGAGTGAAGTAGGCCTTGGAGGTAAAACTTTGCTTACTTCACTCTGAAGTCCTAGAAGGTTGGGTTCCAATTCTGCATCCGTGGGTAACTCTCTGTTGTGGTGTTTCTCATCTTACCTCCCTTTCTCCACATCTTTATTGTGATTACTGCTGCTGCTGTTGCTGTTGCTGTCTGTGGTACTGGGGACTGAACCTAGGGCCTTTGTATAGAACTGCATCTCTAGCTCTGATTTAGTTTTTATTTTGAGACAGTGAGTCTTGCTAAGTCATCAAGTTGCCCAGGATGGGCTCAAACTTGTGATCCTCCTGCCTCAACCTCTTAGAACATGTCTTTTTTAACCCCACACTCCCTTCCAGCCGCTTCTCCCCACCTAGCTTCATTTTCTCAGGATATGAGTATCCTGAACGGCTGACCACATCTGCCTGTTGTCATCTCCACTCCCTCCCGTAGCACCCTGGTGCTTCCACTCCAGGGTACTGGGGCTGCTCTTGTCAAACTCTGCTATTACTTCTGGTAGCCATGTCCAGCAGCCTGAGTAGATTCTGTGTCCTTATCTTTACCGAGCCTCAGCAGCTTCAGCTCGGTTTGTCACTCCCTTTTCTTGCCATGTTCTCTTCTCTTGGTTGCCCAAGAGGTACCGCACCATCTGGGCTTTCATATTACCGTTGGCCTACCCTTGTGGTCCCCTTTTCTGGCTTGGAGTTTCTCCACTTACAAATGGTGGAGTGACTGGAAGCACTCTGGTTGTCCTCTTTTCCTCTGGGCTCTCTCAGTGATCCTGTGGACCAGAGGGAGAGGGCAGTTGAAAAGGAAAAGTTCAGGGCTCTATTAGGCAGAATGCAGAGAGCAGGAGAAGGATAGGAAATAAAAAGGAAGATTAAACTTGAACTTGGAACAGTGTGAACCAGAGCCAGAGTTACCTTATGGTGTTCAGGGCTGGCAAATAAATTTTTGCAGGGTCTTTGTAGAAATAATTAGAGGCTGTTAGCTTTACTCTGCAACCCAGTCTCCTACGGTCTTGTGATGAATATACCATAGTGACCAACAGGATTCATCTGCTTGATGGTTACTTCCTGGAACTGAGATACAGGCACTGGGCCCTAGGCTGGTGCCAAGTATATGAATCCTGGAGTTCCTTGGGGCATCTGGTCAATTTAGAGCACTGAGGAGAGGGCAGGGAGGCCAGGGAAGAAATGGGGACCAGAGCATACATAGGATCTAATCTGGGATGGGCAATTTAGCTGGATAACATTGCTACTGCCCTGGAGAAATTTACAAGGAGATATGTATTTCAAAGTAGAGGTCCCCAGATGGGTAAACATCATATTGTCTCCTTGGTGTAGGAACCTGAAAGACTAGGTAAAACTCAAAATGTACAATGGATGATAGGAAAGGGAAAGAAATTGCACAAGGGAGGAAACAACTGGGATGAGGGAAAGAAGAAAAAAGAAAGAAGGAACACAAAATATAAATATATGTATGAATAGCTGTGATAACTGTATTGCTGATGTCTGATGGTGTATTGAAATGAACAGTTAACGATTACAATTTTTTATGTTCCAATCGATTGTGCATGCTTGTGTCTGGTGGTCTGAGCAACTGATTTGAAGGTAACAATATGCAATGGAATTACAGTGGTGAACGCCACCATCTTGTCTAGTGAAGCTCTGTTTTCTCTCCACTGTTTTATCGAGAATTATTTTCTTATTCTCTATAATGGTTTGAGCAGTCTTCCATTCTTACATCTGGTAATCTGAGCAATGTAGTTGAGGATAGCCATATGTAATGTAACAACCACTGTTGATTCATATTATTTTGTCTTGAGACTCTGTATCACTTTGAATGTTCTTGCTTTGATTTGTTTATGTTTGTGATACTGGTATGCTGCTACTGTTCTATTTCTTTGTTTGTTTCTCATTTACTACTCTCTTTAAAATAAGAACAAAGCAAAACAAAACAACAACAACAACAAAACAAAGTAGGGTTCCCCACAAATATGAGGTTCAGGCCAGGGACCTTGCTTGCTTGGATCTAAGGGCAGTCCTGCCTGTAACCTTCTTCCCCACTGACTCCAAGAATGGTGGTGCCAGATAGCACTCAGGAAGGACAGAGAAAGCCCTGAACAATCTCACAGAAAGGATCCCTAAAACCTTACATTTGAGATCCCAAAATAGATTGGGACATTAACCAGGAAGTAGGACCGAGAAGACAAAAGATGGCAAACAAGAAAGAAATGTGAAAACACTTACAAGATCAACTCAAGACAAGTGCTTGATAAGTAGCAATCCTACAAAGAAAAAGAAATGAGAGAAAAATTATCAAAAAAATCCTAAGCAAAGAACACACATTACACTAGACAGACACGAGACTCTAGACTGAAAACACCCAAAGGTCCAACACAGTGAAGAAAAGAAAACCCACACCAAGGCCCATCATTTAAAACAGTTCAGAATATTGCACCCAAGAGACCTAAAAGGCTTCTAGGAGAAAACTTCCTGCCCTATGAAGAAGTGTGAGAATCAAAATGGTGGTGCCAAAGGCTGGGAACAAGGAAGGCGGGAAAGGCTTTAACATTTTGCAGGAAAGCAATTTTTAATCAAATTTCTGCTCAGCTAAATTAGCAATTACCTGTGAGGGCAGCATATTAACATGTTCAGAGAGGTAAGAACTCAGAAGTATTAGGTAATATGTTGCTGAAAAAATGAAGGAGTGGCCAAGAGAAAAACAAGGGCTCATCTCGGAGAAAGCAAAGAGGTGGACCCAGAGGGGATGGAAGGAACCAAGTTATGGCCAGTTCAGATCAGGGAAGAGGACACAGCCCAGGGGCAGGGGTTTCCTTCTGGAAAAACACAACTGCTGTGTTATATATTATAAGAAAGTATACTTGGTTAAACACGGGGAAGGATTCGCTAAATCTGCTGGAAGATTCATATCCAACTTACAGAATAAAAGTAAGTATTAACCCAGGAAAAAATGAACAAAAGAAAGAAAAAGGAAGGAAAAGCCATCTTATTTCCATATTTTACTGAACTTAAAATGCCATTGATTATTAAAAAGAGCCATTATTTTAAGAAGAAAAAATGATTATCCATTATAAAAAGGCAAACTGTAAGTTGTAAGATACATGCAAATTTTAGAGAACCTAAAAAGTTTAAAAACGTACTTTTAGAACTGGTGAAAATAGCATCCTCTTTGGCTTCACAGTGAACTCTATTGGCAGTGATTATTGAGCTACCCAGAGATTGTGATGCAAACTTACCGTGTGAATGAGAAGAGGAGACAGAAGGGTGTTTATCGCTGTGGGAAATTTAAGTGCTAAACACTCATATACTCAAATAGAAAGGCATAATTTAATGTTTTGAATTGATAAATCAAGAATTGGTAGCAGTCATCAAACACATCAGGATACCCATGGGAGGAAGGGCCGAGGTAACTGGCAGAGGTAGCCTATGGGCACTGGATGAGAGTGAGAGCTTGGGTTAGGGGAAATAGTTTTGAGGATGGCTATTCTCCATTAGAAGTCTTTATAAGTTTATAATGCTTAACATGAATGTGTTACTTTTCTGTAGACAAAAGTAAACACATAGACACACAGAGACAGACGTACAACCTTTTTAGAACTTGAAGGTAGCTCAGAAGTGAGAGATTTTGGGCCCCAAACTACTTTCTCAGGGTACTTTGCCCAGAGCCCAGGTTAGGATGAGCTCACATCTTGCAGAATGACCCCTGGAAGGCTGGACACCCTGCTGTATCTGCATCCCTTCTTGTCCCCTAATGGAAGCATGACGAAGGGTGGCCCAGGGTCTCTTATCTTTGTAGAAAGCCTTAGTGCATACAAATTCCTCCACATACTTAAGCCCATATGATTTTTTCCCTTTAGTGGGGATTAAACCCAGGGCCTTGCAACTGCTAGGCAAGTACTCTACCACTAAGCTACTCCCCCAGTCCCAGCCCATTTGATTCTGACCAAGTGTGACTGGCACCACCCACCTGGGTAGGGTGGAGTAGTCAGGCTGGCCCCATCCACCCCAATTCAGCTCAGCTTCCACTTGTAGAATCACAGAGGCACTTCTTCACTCTGAGATGTTACGATCCCCTAATGTCATTCTGCCCCCCTGGGTTTTCAGAGGAAAGAGGAAGAAGAAAGGAAGCGAGGAGAGGAGCAGATTCGCCTCCAGGAAGAGCAGAGGGCGAAGGAGCTGTACTGGAGCCTGAAGCAGGCGCAGCTGCACAGCCAGTCCAGTGAGCGCGAGGAGCGTGAGTGGGAAGAGCAATGTGAGTAGAACTGCTGCCCCAGGGTGATCTCCACCCTGCCTCACCACCTTGGCCTGGGCCAGCATGCAGCCCACTCACTTATATACAAGTCTTTGCCCCAGGTGGACTGTGAGTGCATCCACCATGCATCCAGAGGGTGGGGGCACTATGCTCAGGGGGTTCCAAGCCTGTTCTGGAGATTTCTTGCATTACAAAGTCAAATGCTACATTTCCTGAGCTGCCAACAGCTCCTGGCTCTGTGCCATGACCTGGGGATCCGAGATGAGGTATCTTGACCCTTATGTTGGAGGGATTCACCAACCAGAGCACAAGACACATGCGGACTTGATGCCACAGGAATTGAGGTGGCCTAGTGTGTACAAAGGAGTGGGGACAGCGTGGGAAGTGTGGGTGACAGAAGCCTAGAGTTCCCCAGAAGCATGAAAAGTCCGTCGGGACAAGAAGGTGGAGCCAGGTTTGCTAGGTGGTATTTCATTATGCGCCCAGCACTGAAGGAGTCAGGGCCAGGAGGATGATGGGTGGAAATGACCAGGATACCTTACGTGCATGTACGAATTGCCAAAATGAACCCTGATAATCTGTATAACCGGGGGGAAAAGAAAAGACTGATTAGGATCCTAAAAAGAAATAAAAAGGAAGGAAGAAGTGTTTACAGGAGGTGTGGGACAGCATTCAGGACCACCTGGAGAAGCGCCAGTGTCAGTCAGGAGACAGCGGGAGTGAGGAGAAGTGCTGTCCTCAGGGAAGTGTGGCAACCTGGTATAGGACTGGCCAGCCTGCTCATTCCCTGGGCCTGGACAGAGGTGCTGACTCTAAGGTATCTGGCCCTCAAGGACTAGGGAAGGGACTGCAGGCTGGGATGAGAGAGGTTTGGGGGCATGGGTTTGTGTTGGCTGGTTTGCAGCCAAGTCCTGACTTGTACGTTGGATTCGTTCATTCAGTGGATCCTTTTGAGAAATTGACGTGTCATTCACGTAACCATAAAGTTTACCCTTCTAACGTGTGCAGTTCAGTATCTAATTCTGAAACACTTTCACTGTCTCAA